ATGGTGATAACAGTTGATAACAGTTGATCTCTTAATTTTTGTCGATTTTTTGCAAATGTATGTCAAGTGCTGTTCAACATTAACATAGGTCTATTAGTGACAGATGAGAGATATTTCTTTTCCTATATACTTTAATAATGAACAAGCTGAAAATGAGAAGGGTGTTTTTTGTGAAACAAAGCTCATTAGATTGAGAACAACTTGCAAAGTTTGTTTTTGTCCTTAATTTTATCATTTTTAATTATTGCAAAAAGACTATTTGATCAAATGAGATATACAAAAAACGGAAAGATAATTTAAAATTATGAGGCTATCAATCAATAAAAGAATACAAAGATTTGTTGAATTTATAGCTCTCAAAAATTATAATATTTTACACGTGATAAGAAATGCGAAAAAAATTTGTTTTCTATTGAAAAGTCGCTGATAAAAAATTAAATTAGGCAAAAATCATCGCCTTCTTTTTGGCCAAAAAATTTCTCAATTTTATTTTTGCATAAATGAATATGAATTAAACAATTCGATTAAATTAAATTTACTCTTAATACTTTCTATTATTTCGTTCGCATTATTATCGATGTTGTATGGAAAATTTTGCGAAATACCCACATATCTACCACATTTTTCTCTCATAGATTATAAATGAAATTTTGCAGCTAAATCTGCCAATTTATTATAGATGATTTGTTGCAGCAGCAAATAAGAACTGCCCCACTGCCTTGTTTGAAATAAAAATTCGATTTAATACAATTTTTTTCGAATTTCATAAATATTTTAACGATATTGCTAATGCTTTTTAAATAAATCCGAAATATTGATTGTTTTTTCAATTTATAAAATTATTCATTCCCAAAAAGCTCTCCTTTTTTTGACTACATTCAGGATTTAGCAATAAAAAAAATTTCCGAACAAATTTTATTATTTATTTTATCGAATATTATTATTTATCAAATGTATCATCATTTAATGTTTATCAAAAATAGACTATATGAAGTGCAAACCGAACGCTGCCTTACGATTTAGCAGTTGCAATATTATTGTTAGTGCGCTCGTTTCTACGATTAGTGTTATTTAAATGTATGTGTATATATATATAATAATTTTATTATTATAGTCCTTCAAATATATATTATAGAAAATACTTTTATTGGCAGTACAAGTGGAAAAGACTCAAAAAAGCATAAGCGCAGTACAACATAACTCATATTCATTTGGGTATAACCGCTGGACGAACATCTTTAAAGAACGAGTTGGCTTAATTTGGTTTCCCAGAAGTGAGTTGGCTTAATTTGGTTTCCCTTAATAAAAAAAGAGAGTGCATGATGTTTTGTTTACTTTTTGTGCATATAAGTAGGAAATACTCGTGGCAAGGGAAACGAACGCATTAATAATGCCTAAGGCAGCGTTGAGGTTCACTTCGCGTTCATTAGGGAATGATTGAAGAAGTTCATTGAAAACATTTATAATTACTTATCATAATATTTAGAAGTAAATAATTAATTAATAAATTGTTAAGATTTTTTCTTCATAAATGAACGAAATCGAATATTCTTAAATCTTCGCTTAAATCAATTAATTTTCAAGTAATCGCATAAGATTTTCCACGCCACACTTTTATGCATGCACATTTTCTTTGAACCTTTCCATTTATTTAACCAAAATAAAATGACTAAATAAATAAATAAAATAACCAAAGTTTTTCTATAATTTTTCAAACGGTCCTTTTCTAATTATCTCTTTGGGTCGAAGCATTTGAAAAAAAATTTTTTCTTTTTTTTGAAATTTGAAATTTTTCTTTTTTTTCAAAAGACGTATTTAAAATTTGTTTAAAAAAATCGACCAGTCGAAATTTGAATTGCAGTGAAAATGCATGAATAAAACAACAGAATTTTGAAGATGTTCGAGAAAAGTTCTAATCGCACGCCGGTTGGACAATTGCATTTTCCGTCAGAGGCATTAGCAAAAATATCCTAAACGAAATGCCTCTAAATTCAAATCTGTCGTTGAAGTATTTACAGTTATGAATCTCAAAATCTCTTAAATAAAAGTAAAAAAATATCTCACCACTGTTCCATTTTAATCTTTTCTCTACGAAATCACTTACATTTCAATGAATGATAAACAACTTATTGGTAAGAATAATTTATAAATAAAGGCTCATTATGGTGATAACAGTTGATAACAGTTGATCTCTTAATTTTTGTCGATTTTTTGCAAATGTATGTCAAGTGCTGTTCAACATTAACATAGGTCTATTAGTGACAGATGAGAGATATTTCTTTTCCTATATACTTTAATAATGAACAAGCTGAAAATGAGAAGGGTGTTTTTTGTGAAACAAAGCTCATTAGATTGAGAACAACTTGCAAAGTTTGTTTTTGTCCTTAATTTTATCATTTTTAATTATTGCAAAAAGACTATTTGATCAAATGAGATATACAAAAAACGGAAAGATAATTTAAAATTATGAGGCTATCAATCAATAAAAGAATACAAAGATTTGTTGAATTTATAGCTCTCAAAAATTATAATATTTTACACGTGATAAGAAATGCGAAAAAAATTTGTTTTCTATTGAAAAGTCGCTGATAAAAAATTAAATTAGGCAAAAATCATCGCCTTCTTTTTGGCCAAAAAATTTCTCAATTTTATTTTTGCATAAATGAATATGAATTAAACAATTCGATTAAATTAAATTTACTCTTAATACTTTCTACTCGTTCGCATTATAAAAAAATTTTAAAAAAAATTTAAAGAAATTTTAACAAAATAAAAAAGCAAAATAAAATAATTCATTTTTTAATAGTGATTAAAACGTACTTTTAATTATATTTTTCAATTTTGTGAAATAATTTCGATGATAAAAAATTAAGCAAATAATAATGGAAAAAAGTTTTAATAGCGAGAGAAGAAAAGTTTATAAAAAATTCATTAATAAATCTCATGCAAAAACAATTCGCTTCTTGAGAATTTGCACAAAATTCATTCACACTGTTCCATTAACTATCTTCGGATTTTTGCGAAAAATCAAAAAAAATCAAAATTTCGCCTAATTCATTTACAATGTTGAAACAAAATAAACAGATGCAAAACAGTGCAACAATAGGGTTTTTCCGGCTCGGCTTTTATAGTTAGCATTATCACTATGCTAGTGATATCATCCGCGTCAAAGAGCGAGCAATAAAAATGCACTATTATCTACTAAAATGATTTGAGGTAAAGATTTTGCCAAGTTTGATTATTTTTTTGAGATAAATAAGTAATTTTTGCAAGTGTCACTTGTTTGTACAACGAAATTTAATTTTTATATTAAAAAAAACACTCAAAATCCGATGCTCAAGGCGAATATCGTATATTCGCAGAAAGCTGGATGTGTGGATATTCATTGGTTGGATAAGGCTTTTTCACTATATAGTCATAAGACAGTGGAATTGCTATTGACCCCCCTACTATTTTCATTTTATTTATTTGCTTCCGTTAGGAGATGATCTTAAAAATACTAAAATGACTTTCTGTAGTATTTCATATAACTTTCAAATAAGTCTTCTAACTGCTAAAGTTCTGAGTTGCAAAAAATGATAGCACGAAGTGAAAAATAGAAATTTCTGTGGAAAGCATTGTAATTGCTTTAAGAAATGAAAAATGGCAGTTTTACGAAAAGTTGGCAAATTTTGAAAATAATATTAAAATTTTGATATTTGATTTGAATTCCATTAAAAAATTTTTGTAAATTTTAAAAAACACTAATAATTCTTTCTGCTTAAAATTTTATCCATAATTTTTCTTTTATTATATTTATATTTAATCAGTGATAAACAATTTTGAAGGAATCGAAATTTTAAGAAGTTTTAGACCTTTAAAAACGTATGACTTTTCGAATTATAGCAGCTTCTTGATGAAACCAATCCGTGAATTGATGAGGTTCCAGCGAAATCGATCTCAATGACTCATCTCTATCAAAGAGATTTGGCTTGATAGACAGATATCATTGAATGCTGCTTGATGAAATAAATAAAAATATAATGATATGATAAAAAAAAGAGATCGATAGATAGCCTTTGAGGTTCAAACAATGAGATATTTGAATTATCGGGCAATTGTCTGGCATGGAACAAATTTCTACAAAGAATTCTCTAGACAATATTTATGAAAAATAATAGCCAGGAACATGTGCCAACCACATAAATATCCACACGAAAAAATCAAAATAGTATTTGTTTTATGAAAAATCTTTTCATTATAAAAGCGCTTATACTGCAAAAAATTCGACTTTTTATTTTTCTCGGTTTTTCATAATAACCGGGAATAGTCGTGGCGCATTCATTGCATATAAGGATCGGTAATAAATTTCGAAAATAAATTGATTAACGCTTAACGTATTATTTATTTTATAATGAAAAGAAAGAAAAAATTAATAATGAGATCTCTTTTTAAGAGTCCTCACCATTACTGGTTAAATTGGCTCCGCTGGCTTGTCGCATATGCTAGGAAGTATAGAAATAGAAGTGAATCGCCAGCATCACCAGCATATTTGGACAAATTTACTCCTGCTATGAATAGAACTTCAGCATCAGCTCTCGAAATTGAGAATGAACCTACTGTGCCATTCTATTCTCCAATAGTACGATTATTGGACTATGAATATAAACTTTGGTGATTGTAGGCATTTGATGAACTAAGACGGAAATATTAAAGGAAAGTCTAATCGCACTTTCACCTGAATTCCTTTGAATAGAGAGATATTTTTGTATAATTTTATTTATATTCACATGTAAAATGAACGATCTAGAAAATTCAATACAAAATTTAAAAATTCGTTTTAGCATGTTCTATTAAAATTCATATTTTTTACCCTCTATTACAAAGACCGCAAGTGGATTTGCATTGGTTCGCGTACACTGCAGCATATGGTCCCACGCAGAGGTCTGGTCTCGAACCACAATTAACTCGTTCATCACGACATGTTACCGCCGATGCCAATGCTATTGGCGTAGTAGCTGTAGGCCAAATGATTAGCATCGGTTAAAATTCTGTTAAAATTAAAAAATTTTATCATGCATTTAAGTATTTTTGAGAAAAAATTATTTGACGGAAACATATTGCAGCATCAAACTTCCCGTAAATAAATTGTAACATATTGACTTTATATAAATATATTGTGCCGTCAAAAAAACTAACATTTTAAGCAATCCAAGGAATGACATGATTCTTGACACAATGCTTTTATGGTATCGTTGCAACCCGTTAATCTTACCAAAATGTCGCATTCCTTCAGCGTATTTGGGCATCTATTGCCAGCACCTGCCATATGGCAAAGGCCACAAGTTTGCGGGCACATTTTTAACAAAGTCTCAAATAAAGTTGGCATTTGGCACATTGCACGAGTGATTCCACTGCAATCCGCAACTACAATAAAATTGCCTTAAGGATTTTTTATAATTTAGCTGATAATGTAAAATATTTATATATATATATATTGAACATATATATTGTATAATATATTAAACTATGTTTATGAAAGATAATTATATAATATAACTTACTGTTGTTGCACCGATATTCCTTTGTTTTGCAACATAAGGCGCATGAATGTGGACAAAGTTCTTCGGCAAGCTTTGGATATTTTTTGCAATTTTCAGAAACTTTATAATCATCAAATTCTTGACTGCTTCTAAGATTCTTTAAAGTTAATATTTTCATACAAGATCATCTAATACAAAATTAAGGATAAAGGGCTTATGTTATCATTATCATTTCGTCGCGTCTACGTCGAACTTCACTGTCAATAGGATTAAATCCGCATTCCCAAAATAATGGACATTCCTCGCGACTGCCTAATTTCCATTGCCAGAATATTCCTTGGCAAAATTTTTCTCATCTGAGATGGCATTGAAAGAAAGAAGAGACCCTAGTCAGTTCTTTAATGGGAAAACTATTTCGTACTATTTTATTTAGTATGTTTCCCCTTAATTTGAATGAATAAATTCTCTTCTAAAGAATATTTTGGTGAAAAAAATTGGATATTCGGTGCAGAAATTAGGAGAACAAAGAGTAAAAATATGCGCTTGAATACCATTTGCACGATTTATTATAAAATTACCTTGTTAAACAATGATCTGAAAAAAGACATGGAACGGGCGAAAAGTTTAGGCAAAGCCGCCATATGGCAGAAAAGAAAAATGGGCGAGAAAAAAAGCAAAATTATACTGACGGATTATTATTTCTTTGAATAGCATAGTTGTTTTGTTCCATAAGCGCGAACAATGTGCAAAAACCAGCGTCAAGATCGAGACAATTGCTCGGATCTATAGAGGGACGCTTTTTAATCATATTGTCGCCTTCACTGCATCCTTCATGCATTGAACGATCTCTTCATCGCCGCCACTTACTAAATGAATGAAGAGGAAATAATAGAGGCAAGTGAACATCTATAAAGCTCTGATTTAATTTGATTTAGCAATATTTGAATGCCCTATTTATACAGTTTTTTCCGAATAAATTGCCACAAATAATGGTAAGATTTTGAAATAACAGAATCAGCTTTTCAAACAAAAAGAGAGACAACCATTTTTGTAAATTTTTTTATTTTTTATAAATTTTTAATGAATAAATGAAAAAATTCATTAGTTACGATAGCATAAGGATTAATTTGAAATTTTGAAATATAAATTATAAATTTATATAAATTATTATTTAAGTCTTAAATTTCCTTAACTATGATAATCAATGCGGGTATTATTAAAAGACAACATGGAGTAATTGCCCTTCGTCCAGAAGGGATATAATTCTACGTAAATATAATATTTCATCTTATAAAAATAGGCAATAAAATATTATGTCGTTATTAAAATATTATTAAAATATCGTTGGAAGCAACAATATGCTTGAAGCTATCGGTTTTCTCTCTTGTATTTTGTAGCAATCTTAGACGAATTTTGCCATGGAGCCTATCTGCTTTTTAGAATGTTGGAGGAAATTCTTAGGGATGCGTGTATTCACGATAAAACTTGCATACATGCTGTTCATGTATATGCTGTTCAAAATTATTTGATATGCTGAGCTCGCTAGCTTGTCGGCCCAGGACAAATTTCGCCATAGGTGCAGTAGAAAATAGAATAGAAAAATGAATGCGTTGACAGCATCATCCGAATTCTCGAGAGATAGCCTGGCGCTCGAGATTTAGTGGAAAAATTTGCGAAGTCGTTTTGCGCAAATTTTGAAAATTTTCGTGAATTTATCACCGCATTCAATCAAAATTTTCTAATTTTTTCTAAGCATCTCTTTCATTTTTATTATTGTATCAATTTATTCAATTTCATTAATTTTGAATTTTTCTTCTGATTTTTTTTCTCGATTTTTGGTAAAAATGTTTTTAAATGTAAAATATTTTTTAAAAAATAATTACAAATTGATTAATTAATTAAAATTAAATTTAACTAATTAAAACCAAATAAATTAATTAAATTTAATCTAAATTAGTCTAAATTAAATAATTAAACTAAAAAACAAGTTGGCTTTTATTTCGATTCATTCATAAATATAATTTGAGAAATTAGAAATAATTTTTTAGAGAAATTTGAAAACTCTTACAACTTTTTTGTTTTATTCATCATTTATTGAATTGTTTAATTTTATTATTTGAAAATAGGATTCAGTACAAATTTTATTTCAAGATTTAAGCCTGTAAAAAATATATTTTTCTCCATTCCTCCATTACAAAAACTGCAAATGAATCTACACTGATTTGCATACACTGTTCCATATAGTCCAACGCAGAGGTCTTATCTCGAACGATTAATTAATTAATTAATTCGCTTATCTTGGCATGGTTCCAGTGGTACTTTCGGCGTGATAGCTGCAGGTAACAAATTAATAAAGGCAAACACCTAATAAATTTGAAAAACTTTAAAATAAAACGTAAACTGCTTTATGAATAAAATATCATATAAAAGTATTTATTAATGAGTTTCAATGCAGTTAATTCATTTAAATCGTTTAAATAGGTGCAAAAGGATTGAATGGAAGCGATTTATGCTGAAAATGACGAAAATATTTTGTACAGGAAAAGAAGAAATTTCAATTTTCCAGGTTTTCTTAAATATTTTAAGTTTTTTTTTCCTGTTAAACTGCTTTATTCTATTAAATGAGCGGTTTTTGTGAGTGTTTATTAGGAGTTTTGTTCATATATATATATATATATATATATCGAAATTCTTAATTTTTACATTGAAAAAACACTTTTATTTTCCAATTTGTAAGCGAATAGCAATAAAAAATTTTTGCGAAGCTTCGAAAAGTAACGAACAATTTATTTTTTCCAAATCCATGAAATAATTAAAGGAATTTGCATTTTTTAAAATACATAATTGCATAAAAAATTTCAATTTTTGCATTCATTATTTTATTAAATATGATTTTCATCCTCTATTACAAAGACCGCAAGTGAATTTGCATTGGTTTGCGTATACAGCCCCATATGGACCAACGCAGAGGTCCGGTCTCGAACGACAATTAATTCGCTCGTCGTGGCAAGATGCCAGTGGTACTATCGATGTGGTAGCTGCAGGTAACAAAATTAAAGCCGATTGAAATAAATATTGAAAAAAATAAAAGCTTTTGGTATTTAGAAAATAATATTTTGCACATACACTCATTTGAAAAAAACAAACATTAGCATTAAATTCCACATGAATATTGTGATCTTAAAAGTAATTTACATTTCAAGCAGTCCAGAGAATGACATGATTCTTGACATAAGGCTTTTATAGTATCGTTGCAACCAGCCAATCTTACCAAAATGTCGCATTCCTTCAGTGTATTTGGGCATCTATTGCCAGCACCTGCCATATGGCAAAGGCCACAAGTTTGCGGGCACATTTTTAACAAAGTCTCAAATAAAGTTGGCGTTTGGCACATTGCACGAGTGATTCCATTGCAATCCGCAACTGTATTAAAACAAAATTATTTATAAAACGGCTGATAATAGAATATTTACGAAAATACCATAAAATATCAAATTATGTTCATCAAAGGTTACTACTGCATAAAACAACTCACTGTTGTTGCAACGATATTCCTTTGTTTTGCAACACAAAGCACACGAACTTGGACAAAGTTCTTCGGCAAGTTTTGGGTATTTTTTGCAATTTTCAGAAACTTTATAATCATCAAACTGTTGACTGCTTCTAAGATTCTTTAAAGCTAATATTTTCATATAAAATCATCTAATGCAAAATTATTGATAAAGGAGTTTATGTTATCATTTCGCTGCTCCTACGTCAAACTTAACTGTCAGTAAGAATTGAATCCGCATTCCAAAATTATGGATGTTTCTCGCGACAGCCTAATTTCCATTGTCATTATATTCCCTGGCAAAATTTTTCTCGTCTAAGATGGCATTGAAAGCGGAGGCCCCAGCTGAAATGGTCAGTTCTTTCATAGAAAAAAAGTATTTTGCAGAAAACTACTTTGTAGTACGTTTCATTTTTCTTTTGAATAAAAAGATTCTCTTCTGAAGAATACTGTGTGCGCCAAAAGTGAAAAAAAA